AACTATTCAGTTTGGGTAACAAGACAGTATGCTTCCTACCTGTACCCTGTGTGGGTAAAGCCTGGGCTGGACACCCCTGTTTAGGCTCTGAGACAGGGCTGTGCCACTGCAGAGGGCCCATCTGCCTGCACACAGCAGGACTGGCCTGTGCACCTCGGTCAGCCTTTGCTTAGAACACCACTCATCCATTCAATGAATTTTGCCTAAATACCTTAAAGTGCAACATTATTAGCAAATGTCACATGCTCTGCAGGGATTGTGGATGTGATTAAGGGAAAACTGCTTTCTTCATTTATCAACTCCTCTAAAACTGCCTTTTTTGTTAGGGAGAACTAAATCTGGAGTAAAGACAAACAAACCTGGCCAGATTCAGCTTCTGGCTAACTACTTGTTCTGTAGCTGAAGTAATCCCAAATTATCTGTAAAGGAGCGTTGAGAGAGTGGTACAAGTGTCTTGTGAGGAACCACGAGAACCAGCAGGGAAGAGTTGCAAAAGCTCCTGACAGTACTGAGTGTGTGGGCAGCGTGTGTCAGATGAAATGCTCCTGCTAACTGCAGCATTGTGCTAGGGCAATAGTGAAACTCCAGTTCTGGTTCCAGGTAGTATGACAGGCTCTGAAATAGCTTTTACCACTCCGAAAAGCAATGCTGGAACCAGAGTAGTTTTATGCTAAGATTGGTTTCAAAATGTAAGAGTAGAAAAAAATTAAAGAGCGAAGAAACAACATTATGTCTGTACGTAAAACAGATACCTCTTTCTTGAGTACTCTGCAGCTCTAGTCCCTTGCTGTCCTGGACTCTCCATTTCAAGGGCTGTAGTAGAACTAGAAGAGGTGCAGAAGAAGGCAGATAGGATGATTACTCGTGTGGAATGGCTTCCATACCAGAATGGTGAAATAATTTGGACTCTTAACTGTGGAAAGAAGAAAGATGAATAGCTTATGACAGAGATTAGGTAGTCATGAGTGCACAAGAATGAATATGGGTCTATTGTGTAGGGTTTCTCAATAAGGAGGACATAAAATTAGCAGAAGTCATTCTTTCCAGGCAACACCGTATTTTTTCACAGAGCTCTAATTATTTAGATGGCAGTTGAACAAATTCATAGGAGAAATCCATGAGCTACAAAGATAATCTCCTTGGGGCAGGAAGGCCCAGGTTGCCAGGAGGGTCGTGGGGGCGTGGGAATTACTTTTTTGTTCTTGTCCTTTTGCCAGTCCTTTCTGGTGCTAATTGCTAGCAGAGTCAGAGAAGAGCTACACAGATTTATTTCCTCTTCTCTTGTTTTCCTTACTTTTCAATACACTTGCAATGTGGGTTGGTGTCCTGCACTAGACAAACTTAACCATTCACTATAACCTTTGCCACTGAATGGCAAACGGCCTATTCTCACTGCTTTACTCTTTGCTAAGGCCCACCAGTGTGCCCCAATTTAGGGCTGATTGCCAAGGGGCACTGCCATTCCCTGCTGGGGCTCCTGGCTGTCCTACCTGACCTCCAGGAAACACTGGATTTCTTCACACATCTCCGAGTACCAGCGAGTACCAGAGCTGGTCTCCAGCAGAAGCCACCTGCTGTGGTGCCGCCAAGGGTGGTGGTGCCCCATCATGGGTAACGGTGGAGAACAGGCCACAAACAACCCTGAGCTGTTTGCCTGGGGGCTTTGGTGTGACCAGGTTTGCTTGGAACGAGCTGCTCTCACACTTACCTGTCCTCCAGATCTTTGTTGACAACTTTGTCCACGCTGACCTGCACCCCGGGAACATCCTGGTTCAAGGCACGGCCCGGCCGGAGCAGGCGGGTCTGAGTGAGTCCCTGGCGCTGGAAGCGCGGCCGCCCCCGCGGCAGCTGCGCCTGGTGCTGCTGGATGCAGGGATCGTGGCGGAGCTGCAGAGCGCCGACATGCAGAACTTCCGCGCCGTGTTCACAGCTGTGGTCCAGGGACAGGTGAGGCCCCTCTCTGGCATGGGGCTGGCAAGCTGAGGCTGGGGAAGGGAGATGGCTGCGGATGGCCAAAGGGAGAGTTTCCTATTTTGCCTTAAAATGGTAAGAGGGACGAGAAGCCTTGCTAGCATCTTATCCCCAGACACAGGGAAAAGCTGCTCAGCTGCAGCAAGGAGGCTGCCAGAGTGCAGCAATTTCAGGGCCCCAGGACCTAGAAGGGGCTAAATGGGAAGCACTGGCTGCCCCTTCCTGGTTAGGAGTTCTTCGACTGTTAATGCCATTTCTGACTTAACTAACTTAAATTAAAATTAAATTCTGACTGCCAAGTTAGAATTTGTAAGGTTTTACTAGAGAAGAAGAAGGAATGGGTTTACATCTGCCACACGTTCCCCTCCCCAGCCTTGCTGCTGGAAGGCCTATATGCCTTCCTCCTTGTTGCTGTTGTCAGCATCTGTAGAGGAGAGGAAGGGAAACAGGTGTGTGTGTGGAGGGGTCTGACCTCTGCTAGGCTCCTCCATATCAGGGCAACTACATTATCCTCCTCCCTCCTTGAAACTCACTGTTAGATGGACTAGAGAACCCAGGTCTGGTGTCTCCTGTTCATTCTGAGAATAAGCATTGTGCTCCCAGTTGCCTGTTGCTGTCTCTCAGAGCTGCAGGGTGAAGGGCTCACTGACACACCTCAAAGAGGGACACATTTTGTCTTGGTCTGCCAAAGTATGCCGAAGAATCCATGCTAAACTCTGTATCCAGGCCCATTCTGTGCTGCCAGGGGCACTTCTCAGCAACCAAAAGCAGTAACTGCAAGCATCTGATTGCAAGTCCCTGGTGATCAGGTTCTGATTGTGCTGTTGAATTTGTTTCTCAGGGGGAGAGGGTGGCAGAGCTGATCCTCCACCATGCCCGTGCCAATCAGTGCCAGGACATCGAGCGCTTCGAGGCTGAGATGGCAGAACTTGTGACCAAGGTCCGGGGCAACACCATTGCCTTGGGAAAGGCAAGTGCACCATGTCACTGTCTCACTACCCTGCAATTCAGTGCAGCTTGGCACTGAAAACTGCAACAAAAAGGTTTTTTGATCAGCTGTTAAATTCTCCGTGTGTATTCCAGCTTCAGGTGGGAAATCTCCTCTCAAGTGTCTTCAAACTATTGATGACCCATAAGGTGAGGTCCTGTCCCTGTATGCCTTTAATAGCTGGAAGTTCATCTGGAGAGGGAGAACTGCTGGGAACATGAAGGGCTGACAGGGATGGGGACTGACTTCTGAAACAAACTTCTAGGAGAGGAACCACAGGAATGCATCCAAGTGTTGCAGGCATGCTGTTTCTCAGGTCTTATACACACTCTGCCATTTAATGGTTGATATTGTTTACTAAAAGAGTATTTTTGTAACACATAGTTTTTCCTGCCTTTTTTATAGCCCCTTAGACTGTAGATACCTCCTTATAACTGATTATTTGGGGGACAGTTTCCACAGCTGCAAACAACTTTGGAAATCAAAAGACATATGGTGGTTTGAACTAGGGGTGGTTTGAACCAGGGCTGTCAGCCACAGGACTGCACAGTCCAACTGGTGGAGCTGCCTTGTCGTTTCAGGTGTGCAAATGCTCTCCCCCAGCTTCTTCCCTTCCCACTCACCTTAGGCAGAGCTGGTACTTTGGTTTAAGGTGTACAGAAGAAAATAATGTCCACTGAACCATTCAGTCTGTTGTGGTTCTAGGTGAAGCTCGAGAGCAATTTTGCTTCCATCATCTTTGCCATCATGGTCCTGGAAGGATTGGGACGTTCACTGGACCCTGAACTGGACATCCTGGAGGCAGCTAAGCCACTGCTCATCAAAACTGCAGCTTCTGCCCTCAAATAGACTCCAGTGGCTGCTGCCCTCCCCCTGTGGGGGTTACCTGTGCTGCCTGTGAGCTGACACAGAGCGAAGCTGAAGGTGAGAAGTCACGTGTGCCCCAGGGATGCGGTGCGTAGTGGCTGCTCTCCTCTAACGCTGCCTTCAGTCATTTCAGCCAAGGCATGGGAAGATCAGAAGGTCTATCCCAGAAAGCAGGAAGAATTTGCACAATTGGACATTTCCCCCTCATTGCACAGTTCTAAGAGCTGATGTGCTCTGGTAGTTTTTAAAAACCTCTTCAAAAATATGTTTATTGATCAAGTCTGTTTTAAAATACATCAGGTTAAACATTTAATTTGCTGATTTACCTGTCACTGTGGTATGAGAAATGATGTTCTAGCATCACCTAAGCAACACATTCAGGCTGAAAAAAGCCAGTAAAACTGTTTGTCTTTTGTACTTTTAACTTCTACTTTTATTGTAGAAGTATCCTAACATCCTGCATGTAGCAGTCTGTTCTTTGTCATTTTGGATGACAAAAGCAGACTATTTCAATTTTTTTTCAGACTCCTGTACTCTAGTACATTATAGTAGGAGTTTGGATTATAAACAGCATAATAAAATATTTACCTAGGCAGAAAACCTAATTCCGTAATAAAAAGCAACTTCTGGGAATATTTGTCCTGGTCTTAATTTTTCTGTTTCTGAAACTTAAAGAGGTTTTTTTTTTGTAAAAAAAATCTGTATGATTTTCTCTACTACCCTCCCTGGTGCTCCCCTGGTTTCACTCTACTCAAAACCTTAACTGATATGCAGATACTTAAGGTTTTTTTCCCAGCAGGTTTCAAACCAGAGTCCAAGCATTTTCCTGATGGATCAAAACCACATTGTGAATGCTTAAAATTAAATAAAGCCAGGAGAAGAGCTGGATTACACGTGGCATTTACAGTCAGTTACTTTAATAGCAGTATTAAAATGTTTTTATGGCTGCATTTTAATAGTGAGAAATACAGTCCATGAATGATTGGAAATAGTGTGGTACTGAATATATTCCCAGATGTACCCTGTGTGAAATAGCAGTAGAGCAGGGTCTCTGCAGTGGTCTGTTCTCAGGTGGTTAAGCAATGAAGAGAAAGGACATAAGCAGACAATCTGCTGTTTTATGGTGTTTATAAAGTAATGATTAATAGCACATAAATGAAGTCTGAAAAATAAGTTTAGATTCAGCTCAGTACATTTCATGTACTTCCCTTTAATCACTGCATATTCCATTTCCAAGTACAAAAGGATAAAAGCAGGAGTACAGTTTTACACCTTGTAAGTTCTAGGCTTTTTTCTTTAAATCTAGTTAGAGTCATAAGCAGGCAGAGATTTGTCCTAACTAGCACATGATTTTATGTAAAAGAGAACTCCAACAAGAGGAGAAGCAAGCAATCCCCAAACACTGCCCTAAAGAAAATCTTCATGTGCCAGCAGCACCCATGTTCCCTGTCAGCAGGGTGTGTGCCAGGCCTGGGGCACAACCATCCATGTTCTTGCTGAGCAAATTCCAGCCAACTTTTCCAGACTGACAACAGAGTGGAAACTGTTCCAAATGATGGCATTTCACATCTAAAATGTAAAACTGTGCCTCACATGTAGTTTCCATGATATGAAGCAAGTTATATTTTTTTTCAGACCTTAACTTTGATATTTTGTTTGTGAAAGCCTTCACCTATTTAAGTTCATCTATCCTCTTCCCTCTTTTTTATTTTTTTTTTTAAGCAAAAATCTGAGGATGGCTCATGCACATTTTGGATCCTGAAGTTTAAAAATACCCATTTTAGCTATTAAGGCCTCAGAGTAGTTTGTAAACATCTGGATGAGAGACTTTGTCTTTTTAGGGAAAAGCTGAAGGCATAGCCTCTCCATTATCCGTGGAGGAATGCAGTCTGACACTTACTGCTAGGAAACTGCTGGCCATTCAGAAGATCTGGCAGGATTTCAAAGGAGCTCCCTTTAAGTTTTCTTAATTTTACTTTTTTTTTTTTTTTTTTTTTTTTTTTTTTTTAAGACACTGCCATTGTAACTGGTGCTGTATTCTAGTAAGAGGCATAAATTTTTATAATGCTCCAGAAAATGTGTATCATGTTTCTAAGTGTACACAGAATGTCAGGCCAAAGCTAAATTTTATATCTAGTTTGGTTCTAGGCATTATTTGAAACAAGGTATCACACATACTGTATTCATTTTAGCATAATTCTGTGTAAAATAAAGATATTTCACATAGCTCTGACTGTTTCAGCAGATAAATTGTGCCATGTCCATTCTCCTTTCCTAAAAACCCATCTGAAATTTCTGGTTACCCAGAGGCGATCAGTGCATTCCCTGTGGCACAGCCACAGCGAATTTTGTACCTCGGATGATGTGAGGGAACACTTCAGGATGTGACCAGCTTAACCTCCTCCTCCTCTTCTCCTTTGGCACTCCACTCACCACAGTGCAATGCACTGGAAAACCCCTCCTTTCTGATGGAGCAAAGGGCCTCTAGATGTGCCCTGCTGCTCCCTCTCGGGGAGGCCAGTGACCCCAGAGAGAAAGGCAGGAAAAGGACAGAGCAGCGGAAGCGCACTCTGGCTGCAGTGAAAGGGAGATGAAACACGTCTCCAGGAATCCTACTGCCACCTGTCACAACTCTGCTCTGGCACACTGACACAGCTGACAAGACACAACAGGCCTGTGAACTGCTCCAGGCCCTGCTCCTGACCCACTGTGCAACTTCCTTATGCGAGCAGGGATGCCCGGAGCAGCAGAAGGTTCTGTTCCCTGAGGTACTGCTGGAGAGCATGGAGTTTTTTGCCTTCTTTTTCCATCTTCCGATGAGAACTCTCTCTCCTCTGGAACACTCTCACTTTGGCAGCCTGGTGCTGGTTTTGCTGTTTGTCCTGCTCCTGGGATTCTTGTTCTAGCGCTTCCTGCCGGGACTGCATTCTGCTCCTCAGGAACTCCTACATAAAGACATTCAAAACTGTACAGTCAGCCCTCATGCCAAATTTCATCCTCACTTTTCATCTCTGTCCAGCTCTGGGGCCCTCAGCATAAGAAGGAGATGGACCTGCTGGAGTCCAGAGGAGGATCACAAAGATGCTCAGAGGACTGGAGCACCTCTGCTATGGAGCCAGGCTGAGAGAACTGGGTTTTTTCAGCCTGGAGAAGAGAAGGCTCTGGAGAGACCTTAGAGCTCATTCCAATGCCTAAAGGGGCTAGAGGAGCTGGAGAGGGACCTTTTACAAGGGCATGGAGTGATAGGACAAGGGAGAATGGCTTTAAACTGAAAAAGAGTAGGTTTAGGTTAGGGATTAGGAAGACATTCTTTCCTGTGAGGGTGGAGAGGCACTAGCACAGGTTGCCCAGAGAAGCTGTGCACGCTCCATCCCTGGCAGGTTGGACTGGGGGTTCTGAGCAGCCTGGTCTAGCGGATGATGTCCTGCCCATGGCAGCGGGGGTCAGAACTACATGAATACAATCCAAATCATCCCACAGTACTAGGATTCTCACTAGTAGAAGTAAGAAATGGATACAATCTATGACAATTCATTCCTTGCATGCAGAAAGACTTATTTTATGGCACAGATAAGGAATTTTACTTTCCACCTTTCAACTTTATACACATGCCAAAAAAATGTTACCCTTTTTATCTCCAAATGATATAGTTATATTGGATGTAAAACAGGTGAAATATACAAATACTCCAGATACTGACACTGCTGGAAACATGGCAGAAGAAGAAAATAACTTCTGAAAGTGCCCTTACCAGCCTTTCTTTCTCTTTCTCACAGCTCCTTTTGTTGCTTTCTGCCTGCAACTCCTCTCTCTTCAAATGCTGTGTCTTTAAGAACTGAAGCCTCTGCCTTGCCTTCCTCTCCTCCTCCTCTCGAAAGAAGGATTCCTTCCTGCTCCTCTCAGCCCCAGCAGCCTGGAGCAGTGCCATGTGCTGCAAAGCTCTCTCTTTGTGCTCCAGCTGTTTCTCCAGCACTTGCAATGTTCTCTGACGCAATTGTTGCCTGTTTCCAAAACAAAATTTCTCAAATTTCCCATAAAGAAAGAGCAATAAAAAGGAGAGACAGTGCATAAGCCACAAAGCAGATATTTTGGCAATCCTTGTTCAGTTAATAGTCCAGGACTCTTTGTTCGGTTATGAGGATTAAGCCTGTGTCCAGAACAGAGGTAGCAAAAGCCCCAAATGGGCTGGTGCCTGATGTCAGCACTTCTGGTCTGAGAGCAGGACTGAAAGAACTTGCCCTTGGAGATAATGTACCCACTCCCTCACACCTCAAGCACCAATTTTATTACCAATAAGGAAGCACTGTGACCCCTCTGCAGTGTCCAGCAAAAAGCACAATATGGGATGTGCAGGGACTGAAGGAGAGCAGCAGGGAGCAGATGTTACCAGCCTTCCAACATTTAGCACAAAAAGCAGTCAGTTCCCAGCATCACCTCTGGCTGTCCCGGCGCAGCTGGCGTCGGATGCCATCTGCCGCTTGCTGCTGCTCCCTCTTCAGCTGCCTCTGTTCCTCTTGCCACCTTTTGTGCTCAATCTTGGCTCTGCTGAAGTCCAGTTCTTTCCACCTCTGCTGAGATGCACCACTAAGGATTGATTTATTCTAAGAGGAAAAAAGCAAGCTGAACCCTTAGTCCCAACAGTATGTTTTTCTAATGCAAACTGTAAACACACAAAACCAGAACAGCCCAGTTTTAATGTCACTCCTGGGACCTAGGAGCTACAAAGGCTCACAAATACTGCAGTGTTGATTCCCATCCATTAAAACAGAGGATGATGCTAAAACTGTAGAAAACATTAGGCTTAATCAACAAAGAGGTGCCTGAAAATCCAGTCTTAAGAGTTCTCCATAGGTCAGTAGGCTGTGCTGTCCCAGTGTTGAGCCAATGCTTGAAACTCCCCAGTCTTTGGGTCAGCCTCTGGATTGGATGGAAAACCCAGGTTCTAACAACAAAACATATATATTCCTTACTAGATTTTATTAGCAAGAGAAATATCTGCCCCCCTCTGGCCAAACCCAGAACATTCCTGGAGTTCTCCGCAGGTGTTTCAACTTCTCACCTCTTGCTGTCTGAGGCTTCTACCTATGCTCAAGCAGTCTTTGTGTCTTCTTCAGTAGTAGCTTCATTTCAATGCTGTGGTGTTGCTGATTTGTTTTTAAATGCACTGTGCTGTGTACAGAGATGAAGGAGCACCTCAAGGCCTCTGTTCACAGTCATATGAAGTATTTATTTTTGTACTCCTTACAGTGCCCTTTATGAAGGAAGTGCAAGTAAACACCACCAAACCTTTAGACAGGTATCGCAGTTTACATTGCTAGAGCTGTTAGGGGCTGGAACAGAGTTCCCCCAAAGCATTTTCCTCTGTCAAATGCATCCTCATTCCTCCTATTCCAGGTGCAGTTAGCTTGCTCCTGCTGTCAGCTGCTCCTCTCCAAACAGAATGTATCCTTCCAGCACTTTCCTGGGGACAACTCAAATACCACAAGCTGGAAAATATTACAGGACTTCCAAATAATGTTCCTGCCAGTCTTACATAGCATTTTGACTGGTTTCCCTTAACACATTGATCTGTATGGATTCCCAGGGGCTGTAAACAGCTCTGTTCTTCAGTGTATTGCTATTCTTAAAAAAAGAAAAAGGTACCTTGTGAGTGTTTGTGTTTACTGATACACACAAGGAGAGATCAAAGAAAGAATCAGAAGTGTTTTATAGGTGGGATGTGAACAAATGATGTTTTCCAACAGGTAAAGTACCAGCTTAAGGATGAGGAGACTTCTAGTTCCACTCCTGCCCTAACATGAACTCTGCTGTGGGCATCAGATGACTGCCTAAACTTTCTCTTTTTTGCTTTCAGTATCTGTAAAAGAGGAGTATTTATTCTGCTATGTAGTACAGCTGGCTGAGAAGCTTATTTAGAAGATATTAGATCTAACATTAGATCTAACAAAAACATTTTATCAAAAGTGCTGAGCAAAAATACCACAAGTGCCCTGTCCTGCACAATGTGGGTTCCCAAGTGGAGTCCTTAAGTTTCTAATTATGCATAATCATTATTCTACACAGGCATCATTTTTGTTGCTGCAAAAACCTTTGTGAAAGATCAAAGGAGAGAACATTCTCACACAACAAAAACAAATCTCCTCATCCTAAGAACTAAACCTGGTTTGAACCAAATACTCACATTGATGTTTTTGTCTTTTAGAAGACTTGGGGGATGTGTGGATCTCCCAGCCAGCAGGTTGGTGGCACTGTGTGGTCTCTGCACACAAAGGGCTGATCTGATGGTCAGGCTGTCTTTCTCCAGCGATTGATTCACTTGGGCAAAGAAGCTCTGGCACCTGAAGGGAAGCAGAGCACTGCTTCCCAGGGAAGGGCTCCCTTGGGAATGCTGGACTGGAGCTTCTGCCTCTCTGGACTCAAAAAGGCCTTTCAAATAAATTAGGGCAAGGACATATGAGAATATAGGAAACTTATAAAAAGAAAGCAAATTAAAAGAACAAAAGGTCTGCTCATATGAAATATATTCAAGCAAGGATTTTATAACATTTTCCTCTGAGGAAGTGGGACAGTTTTTAGTCTCCACAAAAGAGGCTCCAGCTTTTCAGAAACAAGTTTGTCATTGCATTTAGGCAAGAGTTTTGCCTGGGAAACTGAGTTTTGCCTGGCCCTTCTTACAGCTACTCAGGCTAAAGGATTGTTTACATATCTCACAGACAGGCATGAGCTGCTCTGAGTAAAAATGATAAATCTTTTGACAGGGCAAAGCCTGATGTCTACATCCTGCTGAGAGACAGGAGACATGAGCATGGGCACAACCCTGCTAACACAGCTTTTGAGTAACTGAGAACATGAGCAGAGTTTGCTCACACCTTTCTGCTAAGGACAGGACAGACCTGAGTGGCAGGTGTTGCATGGAATGATGCTGGAATGCCAGCTGGGAGGAAATCTGCACTCCTGTTTGACTTTTCATTCTCCCTCTTCCAGCAGTGTCATAAAGCAGTCACAGAGAAAGCTTTATGCTTTCAGAATCCTCTCTTAGATAGATGCATGCAATTGTCACAAAGCTGATAAGAGCAACAAACTGATCAAAATCACGATCCAGCCTCTTTTGGCCCTTCAGGGAACAAAATTCTACTCAGTGATATTATAAAGCAGTAATTTTCAGCACAGATAAGGGGATTGCTCTGCAGAACAGTCCTGGTGAAATCTTGTTACTATACACAGTCACAGTTAATGTTACATATTAATTTTTAAAGTAAGGAAATTTTAATTTATACTGAGTTCTATATATAGGTTAAAAAACTCCAAAAGCTGCAGTAGCTGAGCTGCAAAAGCCAAAAAAAAATCTTGACTTCCACCTGAAAATTCTTTTACCTTGAGAGAAGATGAGCAACTTCTCAAGCCACAGCACCATTAATACTTATATATAAAGATGACATTATGGTATTTTCTTGGGAAGCACCAAGAATTTTGGTGCCAGATCTTATACATGATGCCATCCTGCACTGATATTATGTGCTAAGTCTTATGTTTGGATAAAGGAGTTATAGTTTCAATACCATGCTCATGTTCAAAATTAGCTTCAGTTTCAGCATCCTGCTGTCTGCTCTCTGCTTCTTCTTTGTGATCTGTCTCCATTAACCAGCTGTCTGTGTTGACAGCAGCATCAACCACAGCATGAGCCATCTCCCTCTGAGGGCCCTAGAAATAACAAGAAATGCAATCATAATCCAGACCTAATAAGGAAAAATATAGGTTTATTTAATGAATTTGCAGCATTAAGATCTTAAGTTGTAACTGAAGCTTAAGAGAGAATGAAAAAAAAACAAATTCTGTGGGAGTTCTTTACTAAAGAAACAACTCATAGGAAATTTCTGATCACTTCCTGAGTTTCCCTATGTTTCCAAGTGACTTAAAGTACTTTTGCCTGAAGGGTCCAAACTGGTACAAAAGAGATCAGGCCAGAGGAGCTCTGGCTGAAAGACAGCCCTGCTTCTGGCACGTGCCAGAATTTGGATTCTAATCCTTGCAGAGCAATAGAGGTAAGCGTGGCAGCAGCTGGTGCATGTGAACCTCCTCCTTACTGATCCTCACCCAGAGCCCTGCTCACAAGCACCAAATCAGCTGCTGAGCACTACAGAAGTCTCTTGTGGTCCTTGACTGGGAGAGGGAGAGGGGACACCTCTAACAGAGTGAAGAAGTATGTTAGAAGAATCAATCAAGAGACTGCCTTGGTATGGAACAATCCCATCGGTAATCCTGATCCAGTGTCAAGTCTTCTGACACTTTTTCCTTTTTTTGCCTTTACCTCCTTCACACAGAAGCAGAATGCAGAGGGACTGGGCTATGCAACACTTCTCATATTCTGCATCCATGGAAGAGGTTCTAGAAGCCTGCTCTAGCCAGGGACAATGGCATTATAGCTCTTACCCCAGTCAAAGGAAGACAGTGTAGAGTCCCTCCATTCTTTAGCAGGCAGGCATAAGGACCAGGCCTTAAACCACTAATAATTGCTTACTACCAAGGGTAGTAAACTTGAAGTAACAAAGCAGATATTTATACAAATAACAGACCATATATTAACAGAAGAGCCAGGGTGAAGGACTTTATACCTTCTCAGTTTCTATAACCTCATGGTCCTCTTCCAAACAACACCTAACATATTTTGGAATGTTTTCCATCTCCAATCTCTTCTCTTCCTTTTTCTCTTCCTCTCTGGAAACACTTTCTGAAGATGCAATCCTCAATTCAGACAGTTCCTGTTCTATTTTCTTGCTGAGGTTTTCTTCAGCCAAGCTTGCCCGTGGGATGAAGGCATTTTCCTGCTGCACTTTGCCCTCTGCAGGCCGTGTGGGATCCCAGGCTCCAAGGCAGCACTGAGGAAGGGAGGTACACCCCCAGCTGCACTTTGCACAGGGATGTGTGGAACACAGAGCCCCTGGGCAGCAATCCAGGTCCAGGTGACCCTGTCTGTGGTGCCCTGAGGCTCTGTATCCTGGTGCCACAAGATAGGGGTAATCCAAGCTTGAATCTACCACCATCTGCCTGGCTGCTAAAGGCATCTGCAGCTCCAGGATGATGCGTTCGCTTAGGGGCAGGGGAATCCGCAGAGCTTGGACAGAAGACACCTCCTTAGTCTGCCCATTCCAGAAACTCACAAGCACTCCCCTTTCATTGTGTTCTGTGCATGTTGGGGGGAAGAAAATCCAAACAAGTAATGTATTAGCAGCATGTCAAACTGTGTGATTTATCTCCTAGAAAGTAGGAGGTAAAAATATTGACTTGTGTTTCAGACAATTCTGTAAGAAATTTTATTATTTTATTCTTACAGGTTTAAAATTTGCTTTTCCTCTGAATTTCCTGTGCGGAGACAGCAAGTATAAAAAAATCTCAGTTGTCACAGGTGGGATTTTACCCAGAAATAGCTGGAAAGTAGACTTACAGATAATCAGGTGACCCTAAGGAGGGTCAATAATGTTTTTTGCTTTGTGTTGGGAGGATGCCACCCCCAACCCCTCAGTTTTTTAGCAAGTTTTCACCCACAGGATAAAGCAAAGGCAAATCCCGTGAGCTGCATTAATTCTGACCCTGCAAAAAGGGCTTAGTACCAACAATAAAAACACGAAGATGAGAACCCAAGCAGCAGCAAGTGAATTCTCTGTGCTGGAGCCTGTTCTCTTCCCTACACAGTGATCAGCACCCATGGCAAGCCCAGCGCTGCTAAGGAAACCGAAACACCCAGTACCTAAAGGTGCCTTTGTGTTCTCCACAACCCTGAGCACAGTGCCAGGGCCAAAACGTTTGGCTGGAGCCTCCCATGGTGCCAAGACCCTGTCACCTGGAGCAAGAGGCTGTCGCCGGGCGTCTTCGTAGTGGAGAATGTCATAGACAGGCGTTTCCTGCTGGCCATGCTGGACCTTGCCCTTCAGAGCATGACTTTGGTCAAACTCAATTAAAAAGCCTTCCCTGGAGCCCTGCAAGAGTTAAACATGTGGTTTGCAAGGCAATTTGCAAGGTCCAATTAACAGCCAAGCTTAAGTGCTAAGAGGGAAGTAGCAGAAACCCCAGGAAGTGGAATGTGATCTGGGAATGCAGCTTTCCTCTCCTACCAGGGTTTCACTGTACTGTGTCCATACCACTTTAAAAGTAAATAAAAAGCTGGGGCTTAAAGGGCTGACAGATTTTTTCTTCCTTTCACTTTGGACTTAGATTTTAGTAAGAACACAGTTAGCAGGCTAAGGGAGAACTCTACCAGGAAAACCTCCCACCAGAAAGAGAGCAGCAAAAATAAACTGTGTATGACGCAGCTCACAACAATCAGAAGGATAACAAACAATCCTTCAGCAATCAGAAGGGTAAAAAAAGCAGTAAAAAGTCACAATTCTCATAAATTTAAATGCTTTAATTGAAACCTTTAGCAGTGAGTGAGGGCAAGATCTACTGCCAGAATCTCAGCCTTCTCTGCAGATCTTTGAGTGCACTTACACAAATAATACCGTAAGCTCCTACTCCAGCTGATGTCACTCGTGCCTATAGCTGTCCCAGTCTGTTCTACCCCAATCTCTCCTACCCAGCACTGAAGCTTACAGACATCCTCACCCATACTAGCACCAAAATTCATTTAACTAACCTGCAAAATGCAAAATGAACTGGACTTTAAAAGAAAACCTGCAGGGAGGATTTTCCATCTGGCATCCAAAAGCATCTTGCAATTCCCAGAAACACAGATGGAAAAGAGTGAGGAAAGGTCTCAGCTTGGTAAAGAGGAAGTGGACCCTGGAGACAAACATTTTGGATTACTAGTTGCTGCTTTACTAACCAAGTCTGCTGCTAGGCTGGGCAAAATTAGACAATAGGTATAAGAGACCTGTTTTGTCTGTCTCTGAATAAAAACTCATTGTAACTACAAAAACGGATTTATCTCCAGGCTGTTCTTACTTGCAGGGCTCCTCACAGCAAACAGCCAGACAGCACCAGGTAACAGATGAAATGAGAGTGTGGGGAGGCAACAGTGGCTATGAAGTGCACTGTAGCACTGGAGGGCCACCCCACAGCAAGGACTTGGGAGTGGCGAGGTATGGGAAGAACAGAGAAAAAACGATACATAGTCTTACAGCCAAGTTCCCAATAAATAGTCACCTTCACCTCCTGGACAATGTGGCCCAGGTAGTAATAGCCATCAGTTTCTCTCCTTGCCAACACACGAGCTCCCCTCAGGACACGGGAAGCCTCTGAGGACAAACCAATGAAATTCCTTTTGGCAGAGAGTATCAAGGGCATGCCAAAGGGACCTGGGCTCCATGCACAAACAGGACAGCTGTGGAAAACAAAAATACAAGAAGCAATGAAAATCTTGGCAACAGATACTCTGCAACTTACTGCAGTGCAAACAAACTAAATCGATGTGGAATGAAACCCCCACCCTGCAATAACTGTCTTCATTCCCCAGCTCTTTGTTCTCTGCTTTTCCAGTGACCCACCTACAGATTATGAGCTTACTGTGTTATTGGGCATCCTGGCAGCAGAGAGCTACAGGAATCTTTATTAGTTGTGTGGCAGCACTGGACATGTGAGATGGATGTGGAGCTTGCCTGGAAGGGGGAAGGAGGAGATGGAAACAGAAAACGAGCATGATTTTTGAACACTTAAATTCTTAAACAGAAATATTGTCTACAAAGTTTAAATTTACTTTCACTTTATTACTTTATTATAAGTAAGAATCACTTACTAATTCTTCCACCATGTCTTGTGGTACTATGCTGCTTATCTGTAAATTCATCACAAATGGTTTTGATTTTGAGAAATCAAGTTTGGAAAGAAGGAATATTGAAAAAAACCCTCTAAGAACTAGATGATAACCCCCCTCTTGCACCTGGTTTCTATTCAGCTGCTAGGTGTGTAGCAGGGGTGGGCAGCCAGTGACCACATGTGCGTTGCTGCTGCTGCTGTTTACACAGCTTCCAAGCTCCCCTGGCAAGCAAAGCTTAAAGGTCAATGAAAGGACCTGAAGTCAAGGAAGAGTGAAAAAAGTGGGGCTTCAGTCTAGGGGAACAAAGTTGCCTCTGCAGGTCAAAGCCAGCAGTGGAGACATCTGGCCAAGAGCAAGACGGGAAACAAGAGCACAGGGAACAGGATGCCAAGGACTGAAAAAAGGCAGAAAACCAAAATATAAGGCAGTTGGAAGGCAGAACTGGCAATGAAACGATGAAGTTTGTATCAAAGCATTCAGTTTTTATGGAAAAACATAAATTTGGTATAGAGCACGCTGCAAGGTTGCAATACGTTGCACATGGAAAGTAAAAACAGTGGTTGAAAAGTTTGCTGCAATTCCCTGTAAACTGCTGCTGAAAATGCATTAGGGATGCTACAAGGCTCAGAGGAGCAGGGAAACTAAAATTCCCTAACTACATGGCTATCCACTGCTGTTTTAGCTGAGGATATCAGGTGTTTGGGGTGTTAACAGATGGAAAAGATATTATTACTTATTTAAAATACCTTCAGGAGGCTCACAGAAACTCTTCTCCAGCCCTTTGTAGAGTGTTATCTGATAAAGATTCAGGAGGAGCTACAAGTGTGGATTAATCTTATATTGGCATCATACCTTGTCAGGAGGAGCAGGGGAGTGCTGGATTCCTTGAAAGGACTCCCCTGATAGTCTGCCTGCTTTCTCCATTATTTTTTGCTTGCTTCTTCCGTGATCACCTCAATGTCCCAGAAGGCACACCAGGTGCACTACTGCATGCAACTGGTTTTCCACAAGCAGTTGGCAGAATTCCTCTGACCCTTGCTCTGGCATATACTGGTGAACAGACCCACCCACCGGCAGAATGGGTTTTGCATCATCCTCAAAGTGTCGGGACTGAAACCAGGCTGCAGCTCCAGGAGCACTGCCGAGCAGGCAAAACAGGCGCACCGCTGGAAGGCTTGCGGGAGAGGAAAAAAGAGAAAGAACAAAATTCTTAGACACTCAGGTGGGAATTCTGTGCTGGGGATTTCTATGCCGAGGTGTCGCCCCTCCGACAACCAGCCCAGAGAGCGGGAACAGGCTCCGCACCAGCTGCTTCCTTCGCGACACCCCGGCCCCAGGGCGAGACCCGCATCCCGGCCCCAGGGCGAGACCCGCATCCCGGCCCTCAGGGCGAGACCCGCACCCCGGCCCTCAGAGCGAGACCCGCACCCCGGCCCCGTTGCTAAACCACNGGGGGCGGGGGGCGGGGGCCGGGCCCCGGCCGCGCTCTGACGGGCCTCTCTCCCAGGGACACTTCCCGTATCCCGACGCTTCGGCCTGGACGGACGAGGAGCTCGGCATCCCTCCGGACGATGAGGAATAGCAGCACACCGGTACGGCTCCCGTGGCCCCTCCTCACACGGGCCCGGCTCGGGTGCAGCCCCGGGCTCCGTGCCCGGCTCTGCCGCTGCGGGGCCCTGCTCTCAGCAGGTGTTTGTGCATTGCCCAGGGGGAACTTGCCCAGCCTCTGTGCTACAGGAGGCAGCGTCCGCACTGCTCATTGCCTTCATACACGTGTCTCGGGTGCCTGAGACCATGTGGTCCTGGTTTTAGCAATATTAGCCTGCACTGTAACAACTGACTTGGTTATGAGTTGAAGCTTACCTTGTACCAGTTCTAAATTATTCTCTTCATGGTGTTCTGTAGACCCAGCATTATCTAACTTCAAAGACACTCTGTTTCTAGAGAGATCTGTCCAGATGTCCCCCTTAAACGTCTGAGGCTTTTGCTTGTTTCCAGTTCTTTAATTACCAAGTCTTTTTTAAGCTGTTGTGTCACACATTACAGCTCAAAACCAAAAGCTTCTACTACTGCTGAAGGTAGCATTGAGGAGGTCCTTCTGCTCTGCCTGGTGGGAAAAGGATGAATGAAAAGGTTCTCAGGTTTTTCTTCTGTTACTTTCAGGTTCCTGGAACTAAATGAGGCCCCTAGAACCAAATCTTTGTCTCCTGGGTCCTTATGTCAATAAAACTGTAAACAAAGTTGAAGCTGAACTGTATTATTTTGTATTTTAAGTAGAATTTTTGAAAAATGACCATGACAGCTTTAAAGCTGCAGTACTTGAGTACACATGAGCTTCTGTAATGCTTGCTTGATAGAGAATGTGTTTGCCCCAAGAAATAAGGTCCATGAGTGCATGGCAGGTAACAGGCTTATCAGTAAAGGCTCTGCCAAATAACCAATGAGGAGGTGAGGGGCAATTGCCACAGAAGCAGGAGAATTTACTCAGAAGAGAACCCAGTCCAGTTGGTCCAGGCTTTTCTCAGGATGAAGGAGAATTCTCCTTTGATATATAAAAGTTCAGAATAATCAAGGTAAAAATGCCTTAGGGCTCAGCACAGCAGTCAAGGAGGCAGTGATGCAGCTTAAGGAAAATGAAGGGAGTGGGGTCTGTAGAAGTCCCTTGATTTTTTTTTTTTCCTTCTCTTTCCCTTCCAGAGTTATACCCTAAAGTAACTTTTTCACTCCCTTTAACCACCTGAGTTGCACCCCTCCAGCTTCATGGAGTCATGCATGACACAATCAACAATCTCCTTGAGACTTTTCCATGCAGTCAATCTTTATTATAGCAGTATTCTCATATTCACATCAAGTACATAGAACTTTTTGCCTTTCATATAATACAGAGTTCTTTAAATAACTTTACACTGAAATAGTTTTCTTCAATCTGAATTCAGCTATCAAATTTTAATATGTTTTAAGTCTCCATGCTCTCTAACCAAACTGGACAATATTTCCCATTGTACAAATTTACATGAGAAAAACTCCAAAGTACAAATGAAGGGACAACAAAAGTAAAGGGAGAAGGAACAAACAAGAAAAATAAGTTGTATTGGCAATTACAAGGGAAACTTGAGAAGGAATGAAGGGGAGTTGCCATGACCTACATAATAGGAAACCAAAAATAAACATTTTGTTATGAATTAAAAAATAAATACAAGTTTCAAAAGTTACTCCATTGTAGATTTTAAAAAGCAGCTATGGAAATCTAATAACACAATGGGTTTGTTTTTTTTTAAGTAACCAGACTGGACCTTCTACTTTGCAGTCATAAGCCCCTTGCAAACCTCTGGTGGTCAAAAAAAAAAAAAAAAAAAAAAAAAAAAAGAATACAGCTGAAAGGAATGTGTTAGCACAGAGTTTAAAGTGGTGGGACATACATTTCATTGCACTAAGGAACAAACAAACAAACAGAAGAAATCAAATCTGTATATAAATTTCCCTTTCCTCTCCTTACTACATACTTTGCCTCTCATAAACAAGCCTCTGTATTATGAGGTAATGCCATTGTCTTGACTATATATAAAAATAATAAAGTTTAAAGGATACAGATCCAGGTATCTATAAACTTTAAACAAGCCAGTCCTATCTTGCTCTCCCAGAGGGTCCAGCCAGTGAGTGCTATGCCTTCTGTCACTGCTCAATGCATCGTGCTCTCCTGGGAAGCCCAGGAGATCTGTGCCCCTTTCCTAATCCAGGAAAAGCAGCCTGTGCTCAAGTAAGAAAGAGAAACAGTGCCAGTAATGCACAAGTTACACACACCTACACCTGCTCCTGCAAAACAAGGCAGAGTCACAGAAGGCAACAGTGGCCAGCCTGCACTGTGTTGGGGCAGGGAAAGAGGGATCCGGTTAGGCAGCTGGTGGCTGATTCCTTTTGCAATTGCTCAAGAATAATGTCACTGCCCAGCCCGGGGAGACCCTTCACTACCCCCGGGGTGAGGTGGGGAGGAGGGGTGCACCTGGAGAATGGAGGGCCAGGAGGAGCTCTGCACTTGCAGTCACGATGACCACAGAGCAGATGGGCTGGCTCATGCATCCCAGGCGGTGGCAGACCCTGCTCTAGAGGCACAGGGCAGTACTGGATCCCAAAAAGATTTCAAGAGTGGAAAAGAAGTATGGGGCAGGACTTTCTCCAATCCCAACAATGAGATCAGAACAGCAATGTTAATTTGGGTTGCCAACACATGCAAGTTGGCCACTGTCAGGTATCTGTCAGTTGAGAAGTGTGGAGAAGGGGAGGCAGGTAGGACACAAGGCTCATGAAAGAAGGATGTGCTTTTTTTTTTGGTTGATTTTTTTTCTGTTTTTTTCTGGTTTTTTTTCCTAAAGGTTCACAGCTTAGAATAAAAAAGCACATTTATTGCACTTACACTTTATTTTAGACAGAGTTAATTTATGCCCTCGCAACCCCCCACCATCCCCAAATAACTCAACACCTAAGTTTGGTCCATTTTTCCCTAGATCAAACATCCATGCCCAGATGATGGGCTTCATTTCTTCCTAATGTTCCACTGAACTCCCAAACACACAGATGGATTTTCTCTTCAATAAGGGTGAATACACAAATGCAACACAGAATGACATTTATCAAAACAAAACCTTACCAGTTTCCAAACCCAAATAAACAACAAAAAAAGAAAACATAGTTATTTTTGTGGTTTACTTGCTCAAAAGTAAATGTCACACAAGGCTTATTCTAAAGTACAGCTGCTGCAAACATGACAAGCTAGACAAAATGACCAGACAGGCCACTGTTGGCTCTTGAGGACGCTGGGTGAGCTGAACACGCTGCTGCTGGATGCTATGAAGCAAATACTAGGTAGTTTAGAAGTTCCTAAACAAAACAAAAACCCAACAAAAAACACTCCCCACCACCCCCCCAAAAAAAAAAAAAAAAAAAAAGACAAAATAACCATCACATGTACTTTTAGTGCAGAATTTGGGGTAGGTAGAAGGATTCCAGATTGTTCCTGGAACATAAAAAAAACATTTTTACATGTTGTTTTCTAAAAGGAACAAATCCAAATTAAAATTGGTCTGCTATTTCATATGAACTGTGTATTTAGACATAACTTCATAAGTAACAATTATGCCAAAATCCTGCCCCAAGGAACAAAAGGAAAAGATCTGAAAAAGCACTAACATCCAAACCTATTATTTTGTCCTTCATGGACAAATATGACACTGATATGTAGGTACTGCCAGAAGTCTATGTAACCAGTCTGAAATTTGAACAAATCAAATTCACACCTACTGGTTGCCCCTCAGCTGACAAAGCACCTACCATCTCCCACAGTTAATGTGCAATAACAGGATGTGGTCACTGAACTGCAAGAGGCCCAGGGAAGAAGCGAGGAAACTGCTGACATTCCAGAAACAAAACTTACTGCATTTTCTGGGACAAGGAACTAATTGTATGTTATATGTGAACCCTTACAAGTGCTAGCCATCAGTTGCTCCTCATCTAGCTCTCATTCTCCATCTACCATCTCATTCCAAGAGGCTATCAGAGTGTAACTTCAGGCCTCTGGAGCTTTCTTTAACAAGATCTCTACGTCTTTGGCAGGGGAGGAAGGCTTACTTGTTTTTAAGTTAAATGAACCTCATTACATGTTGCTAAGAGTAGATTTCAAGCAGCAGGTTTACTGTAACTAAATCCGGTATCCTTCTGTTCTTAGCTTTGAAATGCTAATAGGTATTTTGAGGAATGCTCTCCTTGCTCTTTTACAGGAGTTGACTAACTCCAAACCACCTACTTATAGGGATAGCTATATACAAAACTACTGCAGCAGATGTAAACCAAAGATACTGCTCTAGTTAAAAAGCACCTGGTTTACATTCTGTTGTACTTTTTAAGGTTGCAAAGGCACATGATCATTTGGCAAACTACAAAAACTGTTTTGGGGGATCCCTATGTAAACCACTCAGAACACCTCAGAACAGAGGGTCTTGGTAGCTCTCTTTTCTAAACAAAAGAGAAGTTAGTTTTCACCTGAATTCACTCTTGGTGTAGTCTGTATTCTGCAGCTTTTAAAGCTTCCTCTTTCCACAGGTTCATAGTTACTGCTGTTATGGTGCTGACTTAGTAGCTTCTGTGATAGCATCCTTGAAACTTAAATGCAAACTTACATTTTAACAACCTGGCTCTGCTCTTCTATAGTTTATTAGGTAAGAATCACAGCATCATAGAATATGCCGAGTTGGAAGGGACCCACAAGGGCCATCAAAGTCCAACTCCCTGCACAGGACACCCCAAGAATGACCCCATGTGCCCAAGAGCGTTGTCCAAATGCTTCTTGAACTCTGTCAGGCTTGGTGCTGTGACCATTGCTCTGGGGAGCCTGTTCCAGTGTCTGACCACCCCCTGGATGAAGAACCTTTCCCTAATATCCAACCTAAACATCCCCTGCCACAGCTTCAGGCCATTCCCCTGGCTCCTGTCCCTGGTCACAGAGAGCAGAGATCAGTGCCTGCCCCTCCTCTTCCCCTCACAGGAAGCTGGAACTGCACTGAGGCCTCCCCTCAGTCTCCTCCAGGCCGAGCACACCGAGAGACCTCAGTTCCTCCTCATGTGCAGCTTTCCCTCCACACCATTCACCATCCTCGTGGCCCTCCTCTGGACACTCTCTAATAGTTTATTAGTAATGGTCTAATAGTCTGACACTGTGGCACCCAGAAGTGCCCCCAGCACTGGAGGTGAGGCCTCCCCAGCCCAGAGCAGAGGGGACAATCCCCTCCCTTGCCCGGCTGGCCGTGCTGGGCCTGATGCCCCCAGGACAGGGCTGGCCCTGCTGGCTGCCAGGGCACTGCTGGCTCCTGTTCAACTTTGTATTAACCAGGAGCCCCAGGTCCCTTTCTTCTCTCCAGCCTCTCATCCCCCAGTCTATACACACAACCAGGGTTCCCCATCCCAGGTGCAGAATCCAGTACTTGCCCTGGCTCAACTTCATATGGTGGGTATGAAGTTGGTATGAAGTAATGAAGCAGTGGAAAAAGGTATTTCAAATGCATACCAAAACAAACACCAAGTGCAAATACCCAGTAACAAGGCTGCTGTAAACAAAGCTGGTTTCATAAACTTCTACATAAAATGCACCACAGAAAACCAGAACACTCAGCACCTTCAGAATGACACCCTAAGAGCCCACTCACGCAGCTGCTTTTTAACTTGACTGTACCTAGAAGCTTTGCCTGTCCCACTGTGC